TTGCTAATCCCCGGCTTCCTCGTCTACCTGATCGTCAGACAGAGAAAGGTCATGACCCCCATTGACCACTTCGTGTGTTTCGCCACAGCAGACCGAGAAAAGAGGAACTTCCATGTGAGCGTACGTGCATCGCTGGAAGAAGGGGACAAAACTCGGGCAGCCATGAAGGACGGGGTGTGTTGCTTCTCGCAGATCCTGCTGTGATACTTGCAGTACTTGGAGAAGCAAGCCTCTTCAAGGCCTAATCATGCCGGCGGTTCCCACCTGACTCCGCCCGGTTTTTGACATGTTGAAACTGTAAAGTCCAAGCGAAGAAGGCTTGATACTACCAACAACCCTTCTCCCGCTGTAAGATCCACTCACTGTTCCTTGCACGCACTCTCCACGGTGGTCGTTTGGCAGACCGTAAAGCATCTCAACATGTTTCACGGCCGGCTCTCACAACTTTGCCTGTCATGATGCCTGCCTCAGTCAGCACAGTCAGAAGGACGAGGACGACGCGAAGGACGCCATGTTGGCCGAGTACCTCATGGCAGCGGCCCTCGCCCACAGTGCCATCTACTTGCACGGCCGAATCCGTCTACAGCGGGCTGCAGATACTATGCCCCTCAGCTCGCATTTTCGGGGAGGCACAACAGGTTCCGAATTCGCATGTTCCAGACTTACGGTACGGGGCTCCGCTCTTTGGCTATCCGTGCATCTGGGCAAGCAGAGGAAGATGGAGCAGATCGAGTCTCAGCGAGAAGCCACGGATGAATCTCAGCTAGATGCTGCTTGGCTGCGCTTTGGCGTTGCTCGCCCCCTGTGACGGACCCAATTGCGAGAGCAGCCAACTCCAGGTGACCAGCATGATGTCAGTGCTGGACCAGAGCGATGTGCACAAGAGTCGCTGCCGAGCCCTGACGAGGCCGGTCTGGTTAGTGGGTGTGGCTTGCGGAGGCTTTGGGTTCAGGGCTTCAGGCCTTGCTCATCAACTGGTGTGTTTCCAATATTGGCGTGGGAGGGGGCGGGGGGGTGGTGCGGCATGTTGTGCCAAGATGTGGCCTGAGTGTTGATTATTTGCCTGATAGTGTAGTAGGGGGTGTTACGGAAGCGATAGTGGAGCTGAGCGGACGGAAGGGTTTCAGGGCCTTTGGAGACTAAATGATTGAGGGTTTGAAGATCTTTCGGGTGTAAACCCCTAGAGCCGTCTTTGGCAAACTTTCGTGGTCTTGTCTGCAGACCTCGCCACTTTCCGTGAGAACACATTGATGACATGATCTTCTGGCTCAGCCCAGACAGGAACCTCTCTAGGTTCCCCACCCTAAGTGATTCGCCTTGCCGGCCAATGCCCGCAAACGGCCTCTCACAGTCGTTTGCAGTGGATGTCTGCATTGTCACCGACCCCAAACCTCTTTGAATCATAAAGGACTGGCAACTTTCGTTTCTCTAGCTTCGACCTGGCATCGGTGACATGAGGTCCTTCTAGTTACAATTGGAAGATCTTCGGCCTTCTGCAACGCTTGCGAGGATGCTGGCGGAGAGGCAGATCTTGGAGCAAGAGGAGTCTGACCGACGCCTGGATCCTTTCGAGGCGGGTTAGGTGATAGGCTTGGCTTCAGAAGGAGGATTGGCAATGCTGTGTTGGTCCTGACCCTTGGTGGTGAGCCAGTCAACAAAGCGCGATTGCCGTAGGCCTTCATAGGATCCACACTTAAATTTGAGAGCTGGGTTTCAGATGTTGTTGGGGCTGAGCTTCTAGATGGTTGTTCGTGAAGGTCAGCACCTCTTTGAAGCTGGTTGCGGGAGTTGACAAACAATGAAGCTCAGGAATCTTGATGGGCGCCAAGGAGATTTTCTTCAAATATGCAGCCTGGCTGTGCAGACTTCCACAAACTGTATGCCATGCGTGCGCTCGTCAGGTTACTGCGCTCACGAACTTGGAAAGTGTGCACTGGAACCCTTCCACAAACGGAGATCGCTGCAGACATGCAACCTTTCAGGGAATGTTGGGTTCTCGAACCCAGGCCACGTGTGAGAACGTATGGCTGGAAATTGCCATGAAGCTGATTTCTGGTGCAGTGGTCGTTGTGGCTCTCTGGCCGCACCGGGAAGATGGTAGAAAACTGGAAGGAGTTTGCGGAATCAGATTTCAGTTGCCCCTGCAGGTTCCGGTGCAAAAGTGCGGAGGCCCACGTCACAAAACCGCAGTCTGCATGCTCAGGTGGCCATCCAATCCTTAATGATGACGCTGCTGTTCACCATGGGCACAGCCATCCTCCTCGGCTACCAGAAGCCGTACCGGCAGCACCAGGCCCGCGCCACCAGGAACAGGGGGCCGTGCTCTGACACATGCCCATGCTGCAAGGAGGGCTTCTGTCAAGAGAACGCTCAACCCTAAACCCCAAACTCGTGAAGAGGATAGGTTCAGGTAGCAAGCTCGGACGTAACCTGCCTGGCTTGTGAGAGCGTAAACCCTTGTCTGGTCACTGGGATCAGGTAAAGTCTTTCAGGTCTCATACTGGCCTCGAGAGCTTCAAACCATGCTGATGCCCTGGCCCTCAACCTCTGACCCACTGCCATGCAGCGTCTTTGTTGTGCGTTGTCCGACTGTTGAGTACTGAGTGCCTCCTTGATCAACACATCGTACCGATGTGGCAGTTGCAAGTTCTGTATCCTTGAAGGATCTTTTGGTGGTTCAGTGTAATTGAAGCTCGGAGTCTGGCTGCCTAACTGGGCCTTCCTGTCTGCTTTGCTTCGTTGTGCATCCGCCTTTGCCGACAGACATTCCCTGCAATGCGGGCTCGTCCTTGCTAGGTAGGAGGGGAAAAAACCCTAAACTAAACCGTCTCAAGCATGCCTTGTCTGATCTCGTCCTCGAAACCGCTCGCTCCCCAAGATGGACCACAAGACGTGGCTTATTTGGCCCATCGCTCCACCTCTCCGACTTCGTGAACATGCTGCCAGAAGTAACCGAAAGCCAGAATCACAAAGCCTTAGCAGCCTCCCGCCGCCTTTTCTGGGGCGACACTCGCTCTCCATTTCTTGAACCCTGACTGTTCACGAAATTGTTCGTTCACACCCTGCAGGTGAATGACTTGCAAAGTTGCTGCTTTCTCTGTATCTCGGCTACAGAAAGGCGGGCTGGTGGATAAGCATCTATGCCAATGCGGCACCGAAGCCGAGACTTGGAACCTGCCTGCCCCAGAGACCCTATGCTCGTAGTGGGCTTGATGGCGATGCATTCTCTGCTTCACATTCACATCGAGGTTTGTCGGTATCAGCCGTGGGCTTCGCCGCTGGCCAGCTGTGGCTCGCCCGGTGCGCGGTGGCGCTGCCCTTCGCGCTGGCCACGGCGCAGTTGCTCTTCCCAGGCGATGCGCCGCTGCGTGAAATCGAACCTGTGGGTTACCTAAACCCCAAACCCTAAACCCTAAACCCTAAACCCTAAACCCGAAGAGCTATGCGGCTTTGCCCCTTTCTGCTCGCTTCTGCAAGCTGTTGTGGCAGATGGCCCGGAAGCGCTGGCGCTCCGCCTCTTCGAGGCGGCGACGCTCTCCTCCCCTGCAGGGGAGGGCCGGCAGAAGGCGGCGGAAAGGGGAAGAAAAAGGTATTACTGCTGTTATTAAGTAGTATTAATATTATTGTTGTGATTGTTACGATCATTATTTTGATTATTGTTATTAATTTGTATTATCATTATCATTATCATTATTGTTATTATTATTATTATTTTTTATTAAAACCCTCTTTGAAGGAGAAGGAGAGAGGGAGAGAGGGAGAGAGCCGGGCAGAGCTGAGAGCGAGGATTCATCGAACAAAAATGTGCGTGGATCGTGCAGGCTGCCCGGCCGCGCTGGCCGGAACTGCGGCCAGGGGACTCCCTTGAGCTCTCCGTTTTGCCCTTGGGCCTTAGCCTCTGGTGAACTATTATAGAACCGCAGTCTACAGAGCTACGTCTGTAGTTTCAGACAGGAACTCGTGGTGTTCATACGTCTCTTCCATTGTGCCGCAAGAGAAGCACAAGCCCAAAGACCCACAAGCCTGGCCGAAACGCGCCGCCGTACCAGCTGTTAATCCGCGTGTGACGGCCAAATCAGTTGCCACTCGCGCTGAGGGATGTTGGTCTCTCAGTTGCCCGAAACTGTCGAGAGGGATGACGCACTGTAGCGAGGCCTGTTTCAGCTTCTTCTAGCTTCAGCTGTCCATGCAGGACAACGGCCAGCCCGCATTGGGAGAAAAGAACAGAGGAAGGGATGAGGGCGGCGGCAGAAACACTGGAGTTCTGGGCAGATTTTGCTTTCTGAAGCTCGTTACCCAGTCTGAGAAGCAACCTCGTTCTGCGTAGTCATCGAGTCTGCTGGAAGTGTTCTTGTGGGCCCACAAGAAGCACCAGTTCTCTGTCATTTCCTGCTCATGGGTACTTCCATCTCATGCAACATCGGGTCCGTGGTACCTGTTGTGTGTTTGTGCGCGATTGGTTCGTTTGTTGCTTTGGTACTTTTCAGCTAAACGGTGAACGTGTGACTGCACGAGATAGATTGCAGATGCAATGAAAGGGAGACCGTCAAATGGGCTTGCTTGTCGGCTGCCAACGCGAACGGATCAACTGATGTTGAAGATGCAGAAAGCCCAGGGAAACTTCGCACTCCGAATGCTTTGCTATGCCATGGGTGTGGATTCACATATGTGTCTACATGTATGTGTGTATGTATGTATGTATGTATGTATGTATGTATGTATGTATGTATGTATGTATGTGTATATATATACACACATACAGATATAAATACACTCACGTACATACACGCATACACACATACATACATGCATCCCTGCCTACATACATGCATACATACATGCATATACATGCGCATGTATTACATGCACATATACACATACATATACATGTGCAGGTACACATACAGTTGCAGTATACTCATACATAGACACATACACGTACAGAATAAACACGTGTGTAGTGGGACTTCGAGTGCTTGAGTTTCTGAGTGACGACGAAGGATGACTTGCGGCGGGGCCGGCAATGGCTTCTGCGGGAGCTGCGCGCAATCCTTCTCATCGTGGTTCAGGCTACAGCTGATGCCTGTGCTTCTGCAAGTCCAGTTGCTTCGTCTATATAGCTGCTAGTAAGCAAGCAGGAGGGGGAGGAGGAGGAGGAGGAGGAGGGAGGAGAAGGAGTCGAAGGGCGTGCTCCGCAGTTGACCGCAGGACATCGAAGTCTTGTTTCATGCATCCACCGAGCTGAAGCCAAGGCGAGTTTGTCGTATTCGGACGTAGGTGACTCTCACTACTCACTACCTCGAGGCAAGAGATAAAAGGTTGCAACCCTCAGGTTTGAAACCCTGAAGACTCAAGCACTGAACTTGAAACAAGCCTGAGCCCTGAACTTTACCTTCTGCTGCCCTGCCAGGAGGACCCTCGCTTTGCCGAGCTGGCCGACTATCTGACAGAGGGCGGCGAAAGTTAGGAGCGGAAAGGCGAGAGAGGCGCAAGGCTCTGGGTTTAGGGCCTCAAAGGGGTAGAGCTATTTCGTTGTAGGATAAATAGATATCATAACCCCCCAAGTAGAGTTTCTTCTAGGGTCCGAGACTGGTTGGGGCAAGGGACTTCGCGACTCCAGGAGGTCGTCTTACGATCGAGCTTCTTTCAGCTCGCTTGTTACGCCGGAGGGAGGCTTGCGAAGATGCGACCACGGATTCTCATGGGACAAAGCATCCGGCACTTGCCGGATTTTCCATGAGACAAGTCTGAGCCCGAATCCGGAAATCTCCATATCCTACATCCGACATTCTACATCCTAAGCCAGCAAATCCAAGTGAGCCCGTTAGTTTTGGGTAATCTTTTCTCCCGGGGTTTAGGGTGCAGACAGGGGCGCTGCTCAAAGGCACTGCCCTCTCGGCTCTGGCCGATGCCTTCAAATCCCTGCACGGATGTTTAGACCCTAAACCCTAAACCCTAAACCCTAAGCCCTAAACCCCAAACCCCTAAACCCTAAACCCTAAACTTTAAACCCTAAACCCTAAACCCTCGAGCTTGCGATGGGCTCTCAGCGACTTTCGGGTTCCTCCGAAGCTCCGGAGGGGGCCCAGGAGAGTGAAGCCGCCTAGTTTGGAGTCGTCCGATACTGTTTCGTTAGGGGTTTAGGGGTTTAGGGTTTAGGGTTGTTTATGGCGGGCTTTGAAAGTTTCGCCGCTTAGCCGTTTTCAATTAGTTTTGAGTCGGAGCCGGTAGATTTCGGCACGGCGAACCCGTCGCAGGATAGGGGCCATCAGCCTTCGCAGTCGCAGGTTGAGCATGGAACTTGGGAGGCAGGAGGCTTAGCTTCGAGGTTTCGGGCTCCCCGCAATAGAATCTATAAAGGGTTTAGGGTTGAGAGGGCTGCTCTGTCATTTCTTCGGTTGCATCCCGAGCAAGGCCAGCGCTTGCTTTCGAAGTTCCCGTCGCTCACCCTGCGCAGCACTCCGGTGTCAGAAGCGCTGCGCGGAGAAACCATGAAAACAGACCGCGGCTTACCGAATGCTTGGTGAAGTCATTGTTCCATCACTTGGCGCCCACCCAACTTCAGCTGTGCAGGTGGTTTGTTGTGATTCCGAGCCATACATCAGTCATACAGCCCATCTCCAGACACAGTCGTGCGCAGCTTTGGGCCAAGCATTTCCCATTGTGAGAGGCTACCAGAAACTGCAGCCGAAAAGAGCTGATTGTTACGTTTGCTGGTTGTACTTGGCACGATGTTTTTTTTTCAAATTCTGCCAAACCTGCCTGGAATCTTTTTCAACGCCACGCAGCAACTTCTAAAGCAGACATATCAGAACAAGACGCCGCCACTTTTTGCCGAGCAGACCTTGTGGCCAGTCGAACTGTCCACCCTTCCGATTGCCTTGTTTAGGCCCGGGGAAGTGTTGTTTGCAGGCCTTTCTGGACGGGCTCCGATTCGTTCCAACATGGGCTAGCAGAAGAATTTGGAGTGGCTGTACTCCCGTTCTTGTGATGGTGATGGTTGCGACGAGTGTCGTAGCGGCCGTGATGTTGATGTTAATCGTTGCTCGTCTCTTCGATTCCTACCGCGTTGCAAGGCTTTTGCTCTGATTTTTGCGTTGACTCTGGGGGCTATTCGCTGTAGCTCACGGAGAGTCTCTCGAAGCTTAGGCTCGCGACGATAGTGAGGATAAGACACACACACACACACGCACGATTGCAGTATAGACTCTGTCTTCAACCGATTCGTGCAGGGTTCGAACCCAATGCCTACACCCTAAACGCTAGACCCTAAACCCTGAAAGGATTACCACTCATTCCACTTGGGTGCCTGCGAGGTCGGCTTTGTGGGTGCCATGCTTGCCTCGATGACAGGGGCCAGCAGCCACCTCGGTGGCGGCTGAATTCTGGCATATTCCCTGTACGCTTGCCCGCTTATGATAAACCCTTAACCCTAAGCCCTCAGGCCAAAAAATCGTCGGGCCTTCAATTCCACGAGCTTTTCAGAGTGAAGCATCGGCCACTTGCCTTGCAGCATTCTGCAGCCTCTGCTTGCATGAGGCCGCAAGCGGGGCATGTTTGAGGAGCCGGACATGTTGGCGAAACGCCAGTGCATCCGGCTCCGAGGCTAAACGAGTTCGGTCGGTGCATGTTCTGCACTTGAATTATATCTCTGCCTGCTTTCTTGAGTGTACTTACAGCTTAAGATGACCTGTGTTCAACTTGACAAGCTCGTAGCCGTGGCCGTGCGCGAAGCTTCTTTAAGACCGTCTTCGGTTTTTCACTGTGCATGTGAAGCCAAGGAACCCGGAATATCAGTGCCTTGACTGCGTGCGGCAGTTGCGACAAGGGGCTTTCGGACTTTTGGGTGGCTGCTGGTAGAAGTTGCAGACCACTTTAGCATCCCACAGTTTCATGTTCAAAGCAGGGTTCGGTCAAAGTGCAAGGGCTCTTTTGTGGTTGAGGTAGGTCGGAGATGAGGAGTGAATCGCGACTTGCGCTTTGTCAAGTCTGCAGGTCCTCTATCTTCCGCGGAAGAAACTAGGTATGCAGCTGATGGACATAATCGTGCTATTCGTAATTGAATAGAAACCATACTGAACGGAAAAATCCTTAAGCCCAAACCTGGAAGCAGTCTCAACCCCACCAGAACCAGGAACCTAGGCCCGACATCCCCAACCCTTTTGAACCCTCGAAAGCAACGACAGGGCTGCTTTCCAGATGTTCGATCGTGACCTCAGCGGGACTATCGACCTCCAGGTATCTTGGGAGTTGAGGGTTTGTATTTTGTTTCGTTAGGGTGCTGTTTTTTTTTGTAGGGTTTGGGGGGTTTATAGGTTGTGTAGAGTGTTGTCACCGCTTTTCGTAAGGCTTTAGGTCTAAGGTTCGGCGGAGAAAGCAGGCCTTGTATAGTTTTTTGGAAGGGGTCCCTATTTTAGGGTCCATTTTATAGGAGTGCCTAGATTGGGGACCCAAAAGGGGACTCTAAGTTAGAGGACTACCCATGTGTGTGTGGTGTTCTGACACATAGGCTTTGTGGGAGTCCTTGGGTTTATGAGGGAGCCTTGGGGTTGAACGGGTGAAGGTCAGCAGATTCCGTCGAAAGGGAAACGCTCGTCGATGCCCCTCTGCCGGATACTAGCCACTTCGGCTTTGCTTGTATCTGTATACGGACAAAAAAGGGCAGCAGCGCAGAAGCACGTGTTGTAGAGCCGGTCGGTGGCAGTGGGAAAGGAAGAAGGGGTGACATGAACTCTCATCTTTCCGCAAGCTTTCCGACTTTCACCCAAAGCCGTAGCATGCAAAAGTCGAACTCGTAAAACCGTGAGCCAAACCTAAAACTGAACTTCCCCTAAAACCTGAACTTTAAAGAACATCCATAAGATTGAGCCCCATTGCACAAGGACCTCAAAGCCCTGAATTCCTTAAGTCCCCACAAACCCGTGCGTCAGGAGCTGAACTCCGCACTTCAGGCCGTCAAGTCCGTCGTCGAGCCTTGCCAATGCAAACATATGGCTATAGTTCTCTAGATCAGGGTCCCATTTTAGGTTCCAAGTATAGTACGGCACCCTTATAAAAAGGGCCCTAAAAGGGACCCTAATTTAGAGAACTACCCATGTAATTATATTTGCAGGCGAATATACATGTATATGCACATAGAGATCGGGTCGTTGCAGGAGCACTGCCCAGCGATAATGTCTTGAAGACAGCCACGTGTCTGAGTGAATGCCGTGTGGTAGATCTTGTCTGTCAGCCGCAGTCGGCTTCAGCTCCCATTGGCACGCTGCCACCCAGCCGCATGCTGGCTGTGCATGTGTCGAGTGCCACCACAGGCCAGGAGCTCTGCGTGGTTGCAGCGGGCCGCGACTGGACGGTACACGAATTCAATGTGAAGCTCGCAGCCCAGCAGGATCGTCTGCCGCATAACCAGACGCTCCTCAAGGGCACCCGGGCTTTGCAAAAACTGGAGCTTCTCAGGGATGTCTTGGACACCGAGAATGCAAGCACTTTGGAGCTTCAACTGGTGCGGAGGTCCTGGGTGGTAACGGTGGTCGATGCCCGCAGTTCCGGGGAAAGCTCGGACGAAAGCATGGAGAGTTCTGACGGTTCGCAGCCCAGGGCTCGATCTTTCGAAGTGGAGGTGGGTGTGCCCCTCCAAAGGGACGGTCTTACTTCTGATTACTTGAAAGCTATAGTTTACGAGCCATCCAACTAAGCCCCAAACCCGGAAACTCTAAGGCTCTCAACAACAAGACATAAACGCCCCGCAAATCACAAAGCCAAAGCCAGGAGCCTTCAGCCATCCAAACCGGGGAAAAATATGCCAGGTGGATGTTGAGGCATACCCCGAGTGCAGCTTGCGGGAGTTTGCCGTGAAGATCGCTGACAAGCTGGCTTTGGAGCCCGCTACCCGCCCAGTGCTCCAGGTCCATGGGAAGCTGGGCCTGTTTGGGGGTCTGGGGTGCTTGGGATCGCGGCTTGGGATTTAAGGCTTTAGCTTTTTTCTTAGAGTGTTTAGTTTTCGGGTACGAGCTTAGAGTTGCACTGCTTGCGGTTGTGCCTCTTGTTTCCGGCCTCCTTGAGTCGCTAAAGGCCGGATGCAACAAGGGTTCCAGCGGGACCTGAAAAAGGGGCACTCAGGCTGCTGCTACTGTTGTTGTGTTTCAACAACTACCAGTATTATTACTGTTGTTGCAGGAATCATTCTTGCAAGTACGTGGTGTTGCCAGTCTTCTTGTTGATGCCTTCCTTTTGTCGTGATATCAGTCTCAGTAGTCTTGCTGGTGTCCTGCGTCCCAAGATTGTCCACACTTGGAGCATTAGTTTTCAGTGTCGTTTTGCTTACACAGGTGCCAAAAGGGAAGTATTTAGCCGACCATACACAGTAGTACAGCTTATGGCGGTACCTCTTCGCCTCTCCCTCATAGAGCACGAAGGAAGATGCTGCTCTGGGGCTATGAGGCCGAAAGGACCTCCTTGGTGGAACTGGGCATCCATCCCGGCACGAAGGTGCAGGTGGGCCTGTATCACCGGAGTCCTAAATCCAAAAACAACACGGAGCCCGTCAACCCTTCCCAGCTCCGTACTCTCCGAAAGCCACCCCCCTCTGAGGTGGTGAGCACCGCGGAGTTGACTTTGTCATGTGTGGGAAGGCTCGGAGCCTCCTGGGGCGAAGACATGCTGGACAAGGTTGTTATCATCGTAATTCAAGGAATAATCCTTGATTGAGGTACTTTGTAGTCACTGTAGTCTCTCAACCGTGATGTTTTTTTGTTGTTTTTTGTGAGTTGTTTGTAGTTAATGTCAGCAGAAGTGAAGTAGCAATCCGACTTCGTCGTGGCTGCCCGCATCCGCACTTGTTCACCCATAGCAGTGGTAAGCAGAGATGTCAAAACCTCGCTGGTGAAACCCCAACAATCCCAAATCCTCGACTGAATGTTTTGACATTGGGTCTTCCCTACTAGGGTCCTCACGAAGAAAGACCCCACTTCTTTCGGGTTCCTCAGATTTCGATCCCATGAGGCCAACTTTGCAGAGCCGACGCTCCGAGTTCTTGGAGTCGAACGCGGCCTTGTGTCTCATGGACACCGGGTGGCTTTTGGGTTTAGGGTTTAAGGGTTTAAGGGTTTAAGGGTTTAGGGTTTGGGGTTTAGCTTGCTCTGCCTCTCACGAAGTCGGCTTGTAGATTTGGTGAGAGAGTAGTGTACATGTAACGGATGTAGGAGCATGGCAGCATAGCCCAAGGAGCACGCAGACGAGGGTCATTCACCGCATGATCGTTGCCTTTTGCCCTTCCGTGGCCCTGACCCTAAACAAATCGAGAAGCGTACCAAGTCAAAGCCCTGAACCCACCACAAACCCCAAACCCGAGCGAGCGAGCCGAGGACCAGTGCCACCTGGGCGATCTGATGCGACGAAACCCACACAGGCAGCTCCCCAATCCTGGGCCGCCGGAGGCTCGCTATCAACGGGTTTAGAGGCGGGTTTAGGATTTAGGAAGGAAGGTTTCACATCCCGAGGTGTTGAGGCACTGAACACTGGCGGCTTCTTTGGTGGCCATTGTGGTCTTTGCTTCTTTCCTCTCGAATATTCTATCATCTGAGGCAAGCCCCAAAAAACACAACGCCCAACTACTCAAGTCGTGGGGGTTTAGGTGTTGGAAGCTGTGGCTTGCACGAGGTGCTTGACAGCGGCCTGGGGTCTCACCACTGCGACTGCCTGGCACGAATTCCGGGGCTCCTTGCAAAGCCCGAGGTTTCTGATATTGCCCTAAGCTCGGCATGGGCAGAACTGGCTCCCATGACTGTGGATTGTTTCAACGGCACCCGGCGCTACCAGCGCTTGGTCGTGAAAGACGAGCGCTTCGCGCAGACGCTTTGGGAGCGAGCGAAGCCCCTGATCCAGGAAGTTCTTTCAGAGCAGAGCAAGAGGCCCATGGGCTTCGGCTGTGCACAGGGCGACTGGGAGTTGGAGGGGCTGAACCCCTGCTTCCGGGTGAATTCCTATGGACCTCAGGGCTTTCTGAAGCCGCACCGGGACGCGCCCTTCAGTCCCGACCTGAATGTGCGATCTCTGTGCACGCTGCTGATTCCACTGAGCTCCGCAGGAAGGACTCGATTCTTCTACCCACTGCAAACGCTGGATTCTCGTGGCATGACCCTGGAGGAGGAGCTGAAAGCTCGGGGCGGCTTAGATTCCGGCTTCCGAGCCTTGGACATCCGGCTTGAAGCTGGTGTGGGGCTCCTCTTCGGTCAGTCTCTGCTGCACGAAGGCATCCCCGCAGATGGGGAGGGCCACAAAATGCTTCTCCGAACAGATGCCCGGGTCTCGGCGCAGAGTGCAACGAGAGCCAACGGAGCTGGGATGTGTGTGCGATCTCCTGATACGGTGTCTTTAGATCTATTTCAAGGCCCGGCATAGATTTCCAAAAATGCCAGGACACTATAGGCCTAGGCAGAGGCGCACAGCAGCATTGCAAGGAAGAGCAGGTAGCGGCGACTTGGAAGAGAGGGGCTTAAGGCCAGACCGAACCAGTGTGGTGCAAGTACCAAGCGGGTAGTCCTCTACATCAGGGTCCCTTGTTAGGTGCAAAACAAGATAGTGCGGCATCCTTACAAGGGGACCCCAGCAGGGCCCCAAACTCCAAAAACTTCCCAGGTCCTCGTCCGTCGCGTGCCACCCATCCCGCGGGTGCTGCTGACTCCGGCCGAGCGGAAAGATCAGTTGGCGGCCCTTCGATGGTTTCTTGGGCAACGCCTCTCCACCATCGCTACGACTAGTACTGGTCCTACTACTACTAGTCACTAGTCACTAGTCGTACTACGAGTTGGTACTAGTGACAGTATAAGCACCTGCTACAAGGCAACACAGCCACCTCTGCTTGTCGTTTCCGGGCATGACCGAGGTTCAGGGAGGCGCAGCACCTTGAGTTGAGGGAGCAGCCCTGCAATGAGCTCTACGAGCGTGCCCTGTCCTACCGCTACTTCCACCCCAGCAAGGATGCTGCCGAGACCCTGGAGCTCCTCCAGGAGCCTCCGAAGTCGGAAGGTCGATCCCCTGAGGCGCAAGTGCTCCCAAGCCTGCTGCTCGAAAGATATCCCCACTTCGCTGTACCCGAGCTGGCTCTTTTGAAAGGCCCGGTGGCAGCCTTCAGACTCCCAGAGCCGGAAGAGGAGTTGGAGCCGGGTCCTGGAGAAGGATACCATCCGAGTGCACCTCAGGGCAGCACCTCGAAGCATCTGCGCGTCTCGGCCATGTATGCCCTCCATCTGCTCGGGCATCATGCGTACGAAGGCGGTGCGGCCCTGTACACGGTGAACTTCGACCCCGGGACTCAGCAGGTCACAGCTGTGCCACTCCGAGAGTTGCTCCAGGCAGCCTTTCATTCCCACCCCCTTCATGGCGCGGTCTACAACGTGGTTCCGCGCAAGGGCCTTTTGGTGGACCCGGACAAAGACTTCCAGGCAGAAACGAGTGACCAATGACTTGCGAGAGCTATAGGAGTTCACGGTTCCTTGAGGTCAGCGTGGATCGAACGCACCTGGCCCTGCAGCATGGATGCTTCCACACCGGCCAGGACAGCTCTCAGAGAGCCCTTGCCCAGGCAGTGAGTGTCGTACCTTCGAGGCCACGGGAATGACGGGGACGCGTATGAAGATGTCCGCTTCGAGCACACATTACCATGAAAACCGAGCATAGCAAACGTTGAAAGAAACCTTTCTTAGATAGCCAATGGGAGAACTTTAAACTTTTTGGCCTTATAAATTAGGTCTATCCTAAAAAGTTTGAACTTTTTTGGGCCTGGTTGTTGACGAAGAGAGCCTTTGCTTGAATCGGAAAGGCGAGGCTTGACATACGAATGCACAGTTTGTCTTCTTTCCCGGCACTGCCAAGCCCACCTCGCTTGGGGCGGGGCCACATTTACTCTGGTCTCTCTGGTCATGCTTTACGAGAAATATAGTAATAGTACTCCAGAGCCCTCCGCCCCGAATCGGAGATCTCGCCAAGCCGGGAGTTCGATTGAATTTCGAAGGACCTCTTGGCTGGCTTGAAGAGTGAGGCGTACGGCAGCACCCCAGGGGACGATCTGCGCGAAGATGACGGGGACCCGTGTTTCGGCCCTGATCTTCTGAAGTTCGTTCCAGCGACTAGAGATGATGTGGGGCTCTTTGATGCGAGTTCCGACGTGTCGGCTAGTCTAAATATTGCTCAACCTTATCAATACGAGCACATAGCGCCGCGAAGCGGAAACCTCATGTACAGACTTATTTCACAGCTACTCGGGCGTCATGCTCGGCTGAAGTCAGACATGTGGGGTCCAGGACTGAAAGGGAAATAAAGGGAATGGGGAAGTGCTCCCGCCCCGGAAACTACAGTATGCCTGCAAAGTTGAAATTAAATGCATGTCGGTAGGCGGACGTGTTGTAAGCGCACTCGAGCAGCTGACATAGGCCAGTGGCATGCTCCTGACAGCAGGGTTAGGACATCACCCTACCTTCATTTTGGAAAAACGCTTCCTGGAGGACCTCAACTTAGAGGCGTTCAGCGAGCTTGTTCGACGTCAATACCAGGCCAGCCTTCTGCCTTTTGAAGCTCGGTGAGCGCCTCGCACTTAAGTCGAACCGATCTTCCAGCAGCTGGCGCTGCTTTTGTTTGCTTGTGACTTCTGGGTGGTTCGGATTGTGTTTAGAATCCATAACAGTAAAGCACTCGCTATGTTGTCAATGTCTTTCTGTGCTAGATAGTTCCACCCGTTGGGCTGCGTTCTGGTTTCCTGGCTACTGTGGGCCTCGACTGGCACCCCTGAGAGTGCTTCGTTGCCATTGCTACGCGATTCCAGTTGTGGGGTTGTTACTGTGTGCTGTTCTGCAAGAGGAGACACTCGGCCGCCCGAGCGCATTACCAGCACCGACGATTCCGGACCATCTGTGCATGATGCAAAGGGGTTTCAGGAGGTTGGGCTTCAAATTTTGGTCTCAGCTATTCTTACGATGCCTTGGACAAGCAGTATCAGGATTCCAGCGTAGTGGCATGATATGTGTTGCGATCATGTTGCGAGGGCCAAGCTCATTTCAGAGGCTCCCGCGCAGGAAGCGCCGAAAACGGCACCCTCCCAGCTCGTTGCGTCTGTAATGGCTGAAGGACAGTCTTCACACGGCTCAGAAAAGTTGCAACTCATGGGCGGCAATGATTAGGAGTCTTCGTGGAAGTGCTGCCTACTGCATAGTCCCCTAGGCCCCTACACCCCTGAAGCTAAACCCAAAAACGAGTGTATGAGTCGAAACCCTAAACCTTAAACCCTCGACATGGGTACTTGTTGAGATGAGCCGTCCAGCGAGTTCTTAGGGGCTCGGGGCTTGGAAGTGTACCCTCCTGACTGGCAGGACTGGCAACGATATCTTTCCAGGCTCCTCTCAGACGAGGTGTCGGGCCTGAAGCCCTCACCGAAGCAGCGTATAGATTTTCTAAAGCTTGCTGTAGTGACTGCTGCAACCAAAGCGAATTGGCAGCCTGCATAATCCCGGCATTAAACCGCGGGGCCTTGTCCGATCCTTATCATAAGCTCCTCCTTCGCTTCCTGCTCTTGTTCCGCTCCACGACTCCCCTACCCATCCTCATCTGCTTCGTCGTTTTCATGATTCCCTGCCAGTTCCAAGTCCCAACATTGAACCCTCAAACCTGGAACCTGAAGGCTGAGACGCGCGAGACCTTGTGAACTCCTCTGGCAAGTGGGAGTTGTGAAAGCGTGACCTAAAATCGCCAAACACCATTTTTTGGGGAGATGTTTGGTTTATGATGATGGATAATCCTGCACACAAGAGCTTCTGCTGACACAGGTTTCCAGGATTTGCTGACTCCTAATACCCGAGCATCCCGCTTGGATCATGGATCTTATCTGATCTTATGGTTCAAGCTAGGATAAAACATCGCCAGCGCCCCGTTTACCCGCCCTGAGTCGGCTCTGTCAAATCCTGCGATATGTGAGTCGAAACCCCAAACCTTAAACC